AATAGCTCGATCGGGCGCGCGTATCCTCCCTTCATCTCTTCGTCGAGACTGAAGTCGGTAATGCCGATCGTCACGTGCTCAGAAACGTCGGTAAGATCGAAAGTTCTTGACTGAAACTATTCGGTCCTTGATCTGCGAAGAATTCCCTCTATCCTGTAAGTTTCCTCTTTTTTCACTCTCAGTTTTTCTTCTACATATTAATATGATGCTGAATTGGCTTTTTGTTTTCAGACATTTCAAACGTTCGAATGGGATTAAATGAGTACATAAATTTATCTACAGAATTCCCTCCCCTGCTCTATCAAATAGACATTGACCGTCTCAGGAAAAAAAAGGACTGGGATGATTATTAAGGAAGCCTAAAAAGTGTTGACATATATAATGAGGAAGAAACTCGTCCCCTAACGCAGACTCTTTGTGTGAATTGGACTTCATGAGAGAGATACGAAAAAAGAGGAAAGAGTTTATGTAGTTTGAATGAGAACATCAAGGTATTTGATGCCATTGGTTGGGTCTGGCTTGCAAGTTCGAAGTAGGGGTTTTGAGCAGTTGGAGTTGTCGTTGTGTTGAGTCAAATGGATGGATAGTTCCAGTGTTTCCACTGATTGGTCTGGCCCCGATCAACGGCAAGCCAGCTCAGAACCGCCCCTGAAGTTTGAAACATCGGTCTCTCTGAGACAGCGGACACGGTTGTTGGCGTGAACAGTTGAGAAGTGAAGATGTTCTTGTTCGAGACAAGTAACTAGATATCGAGCCATGCCACCACCACCTCGAGATTCACAAGAAGATCCAGAAGGAGCTAGGATACCGGTCTCTTTCTTGGTAGAACGACTCTCAGAAAACCGAGCAGAACTAGCCGACGAGTTGAGCGCATTGGAGGCCATCCTAGGCGAGGAGTCATTCAGCTGCCAGTTCTTGCAAGACGAACACCACCGACTGCACTCGATCTCTCTCCTCATCCAACTGGATCTCGTCGACACTAATTACGAGGACGAGGACGCTGGAGAGGATGATACTAGCTTCGAACTGCTCCTCGAGATCCCAGACGACTATCCATCACAAAACGCAGCTCCTCGGCTGACCTTACTGGCTAAATATCTGGGCCCATTCAGCGTCACTGAAGCCTTATTGGAGTCGATCCGGAAGGCGTTCGAAGGCAAGTCTGCCGACCAGGCTATCCTCTACGACGGAATCGAGAATGCGAGAGAGATCCTCTCCGAGTTCTATCGGACCGGTCATCAGAACCGACGGGTCGAGGAAACCGCCCCAGAGGAGGAAGTAGTTCCTGGTGGTCAGGTATTGTTGGCAGGACCGCAGCCAGCCGAACCAGATGAAAAGGATCGAAGATCGGCAGTGGTCGAGGAAGCTTCAGGAGACGGAATGCAAGAGTTTGCGCCTGTGGTCCATAGCAGCCAGCCCATCGTCGATCGAAAGAGCGTCTTCATCGGCCATGCCGTCGCCCTAGATAACCCAAAGGACGTCAGTACATAGCCCTCTTATATCCATCGCTATTCGTTCCTCTCTCTCTCTCTCTCTCAACTATCCCACTGCCCTTTTTTCTAAGTCCCCCTCCTCATCTGGTCCTGATTTCAGAAATTCAAGATCCTGCTTTTGTCGGCTCGTCTTTTATCTCCCCCCCCCCTCTCATCTTACGTAGGTTCCAAGGATCCTGCAATACCTCCTCAAGGATAAGAAAATCGCCAAGGCTAGGTCTGTCTTCTCAGCTTTCAAAAAAACAAAAAAACATTTCGCTTACATTGTGGATATGTTCTTTTTAGTCATAATATGGTCGCTTGGAGATGTCTAGTCAATGGCTCTCTTCATCAAGGTTCATCAAATTTTTCAAATTCTTCTTCTTCTTCTTCTTTTCTTCTTCTTCCCTTTTCTTTTAATTTTCCAACTCAAAAAAAAAAAAAAAAAAGAAAATCAACACGCTTTTTTCTGATCACTTTGGTTCGCGAGTTGTGTTGTAGATAATGATGATGATGGCGAGTCGGCAGCCGGATCACGGATGCAACATCTCTTGAACATCTTGGTTCGTTTCTCTTTCATTTATCAACAAAGGTCTCTTTTTGTTTTAAACAAACGGAGATTTCGCTGTTTAGTTTATTGAAAAAATGGGGTTGGCGTTTGTTTTGGTTTAGGATGTGAAGAACGTGTTTGTCTGTGTTAGTCGATGGTTTGGAGGCGTTCATTTAGGATCAGACCGATTCAAGGTAAGCCTTTCTTTCTTTCTTTCTCCTCTTGTATTTTTCATTGATGTCGTTGCTTCATATAAAAAAATTGATGAACAAATATAGCACATCAATCAAGCCACAAGAGATGCCCTAGTCCAAGGCCGATTCATCCCCGGCTCGTCCTCTAAATCCTCGAGCCCTTCCAAGGCCACTAGTATACCTGGTCAACATGCCCTCTCTTCCGGACCCAAGAAGAAACGGTGAAGGTTTAATAATTCTTTGTTCTTGATACTGTTCAATCCAGATCTGCTTTTCGGTTCAATATGATTGGCCAAATGAGATTTATTACTACCCTCTTGAACTTCGTGTCGATCGGCTTGTTTTGACTGGCTTACAGTTCGATACAATTTTTTTTTAGCAGTTGCACAACAGATATTCAAGCTCATGTACATCTCACTGGGTTTTTTTCTTGCAGCTCTACTTGAATCTGAACCTATCTGTTCTTTTCCCGTAAGATATTCTTCTTGCTTAAATCTTACGAACTCTTTAATTATGCAAAAATGTAGACGAGATTCCTGGAAAATTAGTGATGCTATTGTAGTAGTTTCCTTATTGCAAGTAGCAATTAAAAGAGATAAATATACAGGAGCTCCTGTTTTTCTTTTTTTTCTTTTTTTTTTTTGGCCAAGTATCGTGTGAAGGACACTACGTTCGTGAGCTTGGCAAGCTTCTCTCTCTCACTCTCTCTCCATTTTTAATCAACTCACAACAAGGCTGTCAACATGCTACCGCCTGGCTCAAGGCTCCCGACCCTAGTGTCTGTCTCCCGGTTTCTCAAGCTCTTTCTTCTTAGACCATCTCCACCGCGGCTGCTAAACCGCGCTGCCAAACCAATTATAGCAGCACAAGCCCAATTTAGCAGCGCCACCGCGGCTGCTAAACACTGAAAATCTTTGGTACCTTGCCTCTCGGCTGCTATCGCGATACCAAATCTAGAATCAGGATAGCAGCCCAACCTGACCCAACCTCCACAGGTATCACAAGAATTTCCTGTGATTCTCTCATCCACCACCTCCCCCATATCCCCCGATATCCAAAGCCTATGGATATCCCTCCATCCAACCTCCAGCACAAAAGCCCAGAAACCGAACCCGCCATCAATCAACCTCAACCAAATGGCCCCAGCCAATGTCCCACTCGATCCGCTTCTCCAAGACCTCGGAACCCAGCAAGCCGAAAGCCAACCAAGCCAACCGAGCCAAACTACCGTAGGAGCGAGTCAAACCGAAGTAGAAGAGGTCGGAACTAAGAGATCGGCTAGCTATTCTGAGAATGAGGACGTCCAGCTATGTCGATCGTGGATTGTGATATCGGAGGATCCTTTGGTCGGTACTCATCAGGACGGCACGACCTTTTGGAAACGAGTCCACCATTCCTACTCCAAAAATCTCCCGGAATCTCGTCGAACTGCGGGAAGTTTGAAGGCTCACTGGGTTGCGTTGCAGAAGCCCATCAGCAAGTTCCGAGGCTTCGTTAACCAAGTGAGCAGTTTGGCGAAAGTGGTGCCTCGGCTGAAGATTGCCTCAACCGCGCTCTTGAGCTCTTCTCCCAAGACCAGAAGGCCTCGTTCAAGTACCTCCGCGTTTACAACATACTCGTCAAGGTCCCCAAATGGAACTCCTATACAGACGAAAACACCAAAAAAAACCAACTACCGGTTCAGAAAAAACGAGCTAGAAGCCCTAGTAGCGACGCGCCAGCCTCCACTGCTTTGACGTCCGAGCCCGTTTCTGATGCGGAAGCCAACTCAACCGATGCGTCTTCTGTTCAACGTCCAATGGGTAAGAAGAAGGCCAAACTAATCCACAAACTCGCAAACAAGGAAGACAACTGGAAATGTATCATTGCGCGCGCTCACGAGTCCGTGGCGAATGAATCAAAGCGCCAGAACGACATCTTCAATAAGGAAGCTTGGTCCTTGAATGAGATGGCTCAGACCAGCAAAACTAACACCCAGGTATCGATCATGGACAAGGATCTGTCCAATCTTGATGACGACTCCAAGGAGTATTTTAGATTAAAAAAAAGGGAAATATTAGCCTCTCTTCGCTCAAACACATCTTCTTCATCTTAGGGCATGTTTTTCATCTCTACCAAGCTCCTCACCAAACTCCTCATGTTATGTAGTTGCCTGATTGATCAACTGAACTCCTCATCTTACTTGACTGTGAACTCCTCATCTTACTTGACCGACTGTGAACTCCTCATCTTACTTGACCGACTATGAACTGCTCATCTTACTTGACCGACTGTGAACTCCTCATCTTACTTGACCAACTGTGAACACCTCATCTTGCTTGACCGTACTTGATCATCCATCACTTGTTATGTCTGCCTAGCATTTCTACATAGTTTGTTGGACAAGAAAACCAATCAAAATCACATGTTTTTTTTTCTTGGATTTCATTGCATAACAATTCAATTGATTGTTGAGCATATCTGATTACAACCAAAGATGAGAAACAAAGAGAGAGAGAAGAATCAAGAGAAAGAAGAAGCGAGCAAGAGAAATAAGAAGCGAGAGAGAGAAAGAAGAAGCAAGCGAGAGAAATAAGAAGCGAGAGAGAGAAAGATGAGAGAGAATAAAAAGCAAGAGATCGATAGAAGAAGCAATAGGGAGGAAGAAGAAGCGATAGAGAAGAGAAAAAATGAGCGAGAGAGATTCAAAACACAAGCGAAAAGAAACAAGAAGCTTTTATTCCAATTCATCGGCTTGTCGTCCTTTGACATCCCACTGATGTCGGATGAGATCATGTCGCAACCGGTAGTGAATTTCGATGTCTTTCATTGAGTGGTAGTTGTCAATGAACTCGGAGAACGATATTTGTGTCCCTCGTGTTACTTCAACCGGAGTAATAACTTCGGCCGGGTTCTGATCGTACACATATTCTAAGTAAGAGTCTCGCTCATCCTCCACAATCATGTTGTGGAGGATGATGCATGATTTCATGATGTTGGTAAGGTTTTGATGTTTCCATCCGCGTGCAGGTCGAGAGACGATCACAAAGCGTGCCTGAAGAACGCCAAAGGCCCGCTCGACATCTTTCCGACGACCTTCCTGCATCTTGACAAAATGTTTTTGCTCAAGTCCTTCCGGCTCCGAGAGTGTTTTGACGAAAACGGCCCAATCCGGGTAAATCCCGTTGGCAAGGTAGTAACCTTGCTTGTAATCATGGCCGTTGATGCTGTATTCACATTTCGGGGCTTGTCCGTTCAAGAGATTTTTGAAGAGGGGCGATTGGTCCAGGACGTTTATGTCGTTATGAGACCCTGGCAGCCCAAAGTAGGCCTGCCAGATCCAAAGATCCTGAGAGGCGACGGCCTCAAGTATAACGGTTGGGGTCTATAATAAATCAAACCAGTCACAGGTCAGTCAGAACAAATAAACAGCATAGTATTTCTGTGATAAAACTCACCTTTTCCTTTCCTTGAAATTGCCCAGCCCACGCCGAGGGGCAATTTTTCCACTCCCAATGCATGCAGTCCACAGACCCAAGCATGCCAGGGAAACCTCTTCGAGCTCCAATCTCCAGTAATCTGTCCAGGTCTTCGGCAGTCGGCTCGCGGAGATATTCGCCACCGTAGATGCTGACAATTGCGTCACAAAACCGATCCATACATTGGAGCGAGGTGGTTTCCGAGAGTTGCAGATACTCGTCGTTACAATCACCAGCACCCCCATAAGCAAGCATGCGCAGTGCCGCCGTGACCTTAACAAGGGGATGGAGACCCATTCTTCCTAAGGCATCTGGTTTCTGAATGAAGTAATCGTCGAAGCTTCGAACAGAGTCGGTTATCTTTAAGAATAATTCTTTCGACATTCGAAATCGGCGTCTGAATTACCTAGAATCGTAGAGAGGTGAATCGGAAAAATAGTGTTGGTAGAGCTGTTGATAGGCAGCTTCAAAGTTTCGAGGTATGTTCGGCTTCTTTCCTGGCTTTGATCCACCGTGCTTGCCAAAGAGGTCATCGTAACGGGTATCGTTGTCCAACATCAGTATTGCAGATTCAAGGAGCATTGTTCTTCTGGTATTTGCGCTGGAGGCTAGCTGCTGCCGTCGGATTATGATTTGGGTGAATTCTTCTTGCGTCAAGACATCCACAGGCGTATTGTTGTCTTTGGACTCGTCCATGGCGGTAGTGTGTTGTGTTCTTCGGGGAGCGGGGGAGAGAGTTTCACAGTGAAGAGCTGCCATATTTGGCAGCGTGCGGTGTCGAAATTCCAAGGCTTGGGGTGCTAAAAATGCGCCGCAGTCGCCGAATTCCGAGATTTGGCAGCGCAGATAGCATTTTGCGGTGGAGATGGTCTTAGATTCGAAGTTTCAGCGCGTATTCCCTTGGGAAAACAGCTGTTCTATCAAATCACGAAAGTGAAACGGTGGGGATCTTAGCAGCGGTCAGACTGGCGAAGGAGATATACGTGGAGTCACAACACCGGCATTTGTTAATATTTGTTGACAACCAGGGCGTTATCCAAAGGACAAAGAATCCAGATACTCCAAAGCCGGGACAATGGCTTTTCATACAGGTCAATGCTGCCATATCGGCTCTCCCAGGTGGCTTAAAAGTTTCATTTGTGTGGTGTCCAGGACATAGGGACATTTTAGGCAATGAACTGGCGGATCAGTTAGCAAAGGAAGCGTTGGAGTCCCCCTCGACGAAAACCTTGGAAGCTAAAAGCAATTGCAAAAAGGTTCACCGGATGGTGGTGGAAGGCCTATTCTCCAAAAAACCGGCGCCCTCAATTCTACCGATTGGGTTTTGCGCCCTGATCAATCAATTGGATTCGGGTCATTGCACACTGAAAAAACACTTGTTTCGTATTTGTAGGAGCTTTGATCCTCTTTGCCCCAACTGTGGGGCATAGGAGATGGTATTTCACCTGATGAACTTCTGTCCAAAGATCAAGAACCA